ACTAAAACAATCATTCAGAATACAAATGACGACTGAATAAGTAAAATGTCCTTTCCAATGATTAAGTTAAAAATCCTTGGAAACAACCATTATTCAGAACGATCAAAATAAAGACTGTTTATGATTGCGAATAACACATAGTAAAAAACCTAAAACAGTATGTATACATACCTTGGAAGGATCATTGGCAGTTTTTCGGAGCTTCTCAGAAAGCCGGATGTACCCAAATGACCAGAAAACAGAAATGAATGCAGCTGCAATGCCACCAAGAGTAGCATAAAAAGTGGGAGGCGAAGTGATCTTCCCAGTGAAAGCCACAGAAAAGGAAAGAATCACAGCTGCCACTGTACTACATATTAGCTGCCCCCAAAATCCTAAACTACCCAACCGCTTAAAATACCTTGATGTATTCTCTAATCTCTTAGCCACCTGCACACACAATAACAATAATCTTACTCTAGTCTCCACAACAGTTCCCACATTTTTCTTGGTAACCAAATATAAAAATTAGCAACCAAGAACGGAAACTAAAATGACAATTAGAAAACCGTTTTAAAGCAGCTACTTTCCTCAACTCAAGTCTCATATTCACTAAAAGTTGCATTTCGCATCGATTTCTCTTCATTCCCGTCATCTCTTAGAAGTCAAACAGACAAATTACCACACAAGAAGCAAAACGAAAATGACATTTAAAAATTAAAATCCCATATGAAAGACAGCTCCTTTTTTTAGACATGTTAATGGGTTTCCAAAATAATGCATGTATTGCCCCCAATCCAAGCGAAGAGAAATTAGTGCATAAAACAAAAATAACATCAAGAGAAAACAAAAACCCTTATAAAAGACAGTTCCTTTTCTTTTACTACACAAATGGATGGCCACACAACAATGTGAGTTGGTAAATTAGACTTAAAATTCTAATGTAACTTTCTTTTAGAAATCTTGAGCAAAGAATTTGGAGAGGGTTTGAACCTGAGCGAGTTTTGCCCTTTCTGCCTCGTCGTTTTGGGAATTGAAAGCAGGAGCAGTGGCATTAGAAGCGTTTGTTTGGGTAAATAATTTTTTTGGTGTTTTGTTCCTAAGATGATCATAACTTAATAATGAGCTAATGTAAGAGAATGATGGGAGAGGTTGTGTGGATTTGTGAAAGATTAGGATGGAGTTTGGATGAGGGAGGAGAGCTAGGTGTTTTACACAGTGGATAAGGGGAGGCGTTGGAACCGCCGCCATGGATGCAGCCTGGCCGGTGCGAACTGCCGGCATAAGCAGCGTTTGCATTTTTCCCCAAAGTGTAAGCGGAGTAGGCTAGTTCGAGACGATGGACTCCTAAATAAGAATCAATTTTTTTATATGAGCTGCATCTCGTTTAATAAGGTCATGTAAGAAGCTTGTCGTGCGACTATCTGTCGTCCATGTACTAAAAAGCAATGTGTCGTCTGATGTGTAGACGACACTCGTCTTACTTGGATTATTATTGATCTCAACTAATCGAGGAGGGAATTCATTTTTCCTTCTCACAATTTTTTTTTCCAATTTTTTTAATTTATTCTTCAATATATTTATTTATTATGGTTTAATTATTCTAGTTACAGATTTAATAAATTAAATAAAGTTAATTCAAGTTATTTTTTTATTTGTTTATGTTTGAATTCTTTTTAGATCAATTAAATTGATTGTGTTATATCATATTAATCGTTAAATTGTTCAATTTTTTTAATGTTAGAAAACATATTAGCAACATTTAGATATTTTTTTACACTAAAAAAATTGATTTAACTTGTGGTATAGTCAGGTTGACTTGAGTTTTTTATTTTTTATTTTTTATTTTTTATTTTTTTAATTTTATCTTTTAACATTTGATTGACTAAAAATTAAAATTTATAATTTTTTTATTTTCTTTCTATGAATCCTAATCTTATGACTCGGATCTGGTAGGTTAACTCATATTGATTTTGGTTATTTTTTTATCTTTATATTTTATTTTTTTACAATTTAATCATTTAACATTGAGTTATTTGGGAATTAGACTTTATAATTTTTTTATTTGCTTTCTACAGGGTTATCATAATTTTATGACCCAAGCCACAAGTTATGCCGATTAACTTAGGTTCTTTTCTCTATTTTTTTTTTAATTTTATCATTTAATATTGAGTTTATTAAAAATTAGACATTATGATTTATTTTGGTTTGAGTTTATTTAAGTTATTCAGTTTTATCAGTTGACTAGGGAGGTGTTTTGTGTATATTGAAAAGACTATACATATATCTAATTAAATAAACAAAAAACTTAAATTGAAAAACTTATACACATATCTAATTAAATAAATAAAAAATCACTCTTATAAATAAATGAAAAAATCATTAATGATATCTAAAAAAAATTAAAAAAATCAAGATATATATAAAGAGCAAAATATTTAATCTTGTAATATAGAACATTTAGCTAGTTGTGTTTGCTGAATTTATTTATTAAAATTAATTTTTTATTCAACCAAATGATAAGAGAAACAGATACCCACACGAAACTAATTGAATAAAATAAAAGAAAAAAAATATTATGCAAGGATATAAATATTATAAATATTATATAAATTAAATTTTTTTATTTAAAAAAATTTATCTATATAAAAAATATAAAAATACTATAGATAAATAAGAATAATGTTTCTAAAAAATAAATATACACGAAACAATTCAAAAATAAAATTTCAATTCAAAAAGGATAAATAAGTCAAAAGAAAAAAAAAGAACTCACACAGTAGGGATACTAATCAAAACAAAATTTAAAAAATTATTTAAAAAAGACTAATTAAAAAAGTACTAGTTAACCAAAAAAATATTAAAAAAAAAAGTCTAGTTACTATGTTTTAATTTGTCAAACTTGTAATTTGGATTATGAACTCAAATGAGTATTTTTTTATAAATTTATACTCAATTTTAATATATAATAAAAATTAAAAACAAAAAAGACAACAAAAATCTAATCATGCTAGCATGTGGTTTGGGCCATTACAAGGTAGAGATTATGTATGTCGGTAGGTCTTCGAGCTTATACTTATAAATTTGGAATTAGTTTGATTTATTTTATTTTTTTAAGATCAACCCTATATTTATTTTTAAATAAATAAATATGCCACTATGATGACTGAAAAATTAGAGTGGCGTTCTTCAGGATTTTAAAAAATAATTTTCAAGTCATTTCAACCCAAAACCTCCTCACCAACACCCTTATAGCTTCTACAAACTAATACATCGACCAAAAAAACTTAAAAAATTATATAAAAAAAATAAAATTAAATTGAGTTAGATTTATCTTTCTTAACTTAGTTTTATTTTTTTAGACGACATAGAGGCTCTAAATAACTATCACCAAACCCCTCCCATCGCATATAACCTATGAATATAAAAAACAATTATTTTAGTGGTAAAAAATGACATTAACATTCTCTTGAAATTCAATGATCTTTCTATAACTAGAAACTAAAAAATAATAAAAATAAATTTTCATATCAAAATGAAATCTTCAAAGTTCAAAGGGACCTAAATTTTATTATTTTAAAAATTGAGGACTTAAGTATATTTAAAAAAAAAATATTGGACACACCAATCATTATTGATTTTTTTTCTTATTTTGGTCTCTCTCCTTACAATTTCATATTTTCTTAAGAAATTAAAAACAACTAGTCTTTAATTGCCTAAAATAAAAGTTTGATAACTAACTTCAAAAATTAAAAAAAGAATAGTGCATCCATAATAATATATGAGTGTGTGAATAATGTTTCTGAAAAGACCCCACTTTTTAGATTTCTACTAATATTCATATTCAATATTCATATGTTTAAATAAAAAAATAACGTTTATTACTTTTATCAGTAACTATGGGAATTGCATTTGTTTGATTTAGACGCCAAATTCAAATAAAGAGTATTATGTCAAGTCCGTATGCAAACTGCTTTCATCCCCCAATCATATTAACTCCATTAATGGCTTGTAGAAAGAAATGGTCCCACTCAAAATTGAAGTTTTTTGTTGGCCGAGCTAGAAGAGAAACTATTGATATTAATGCTATGTGCCCAAGTTGCTTATTGTTAGAGGAATATGTTGATTGTCTCCTTGTCAACTGTCAGAAGCATCGGTTTATATGGCCTAAATTTATAGATTTGTGGGGTCTTTCTTGTTATTGTTCCAGAAGCATGACGACCTTGTTTCAACAGTAGGAATATCTGCTATAAAGAGTATTTTAAAGGAGGGTATGGTCTGCGCTATTTTTTTTGTTATATCATGGTCATTATGGCTTTTATGAAACGAGTTTATTTTTAATCATAAGAAGCCTGATTATGACAAAATCTTCCTTGTGTGTGGATTAAAACCTTATTTCCTGATTTTCATTGTTTTGCTCTTGACTTGTTGATGGATTGCTTAAATGGACTCATACCAAAAATAAATTTTTGGTAAGCTTGGTCCTATTAGTATAGGAGGGTTCTTCGTAATCATAAAGGAATTGTGTTGAGTATTTTCTCCATCCCTACAGGGATTAGAGACTCCAATGAAGCAAAACTATTAGTTTTGGTTAAAACCTTGAAATTACCCTCTTCCAGAGAATATGTATCTAGTGTGAAAATTATTGTAGAATTTGACTCTTCTAATATGGTAAACTGGATACATAAACCATATTAGGTCATAATAGTATCATGAAATCTTCGTCCTTGCTACTCATGGGCCCTCTGACCTTTTCACATATCATGCATAAAGTGAATTATATGGCTAATGGTCTTACTCAATAAGGTGTGTTTGGGAATTGTGATTTTATAGCCTAATTGTAAATTCTAGAGAGTTTTCTCTAGGGATATGATATTTTTTTAAGCTAATGGAGATTCATCTGAATATGTTTTATAGTGGCTGAGTTTTAGAATTTGCTTTACTTAATTATTCTGGAGAACTGCTTGGAGTAACAATTGAGAACAAACGTATGGTTGCTTGGACATAAGTTGTTTACTTTGTTTTTTTTTGTCTTGTTTTGGAGCTTTTTAAGCCCTGTTTGTTTCTGCATTTTAAAAGCGCTTTTGAAAAAATTAAAAAAAATTATTAACTTTAAATTAATATGTTTTTATTGTTTTCAAATCATTTTGATGTGCTGATATCAAAAATAAATTTTAAAAAATAAAAAAAATATCATTAGCATGCCTTTTAGCATGAAAAGCTCTTTGAAAAGCAACCACAACCACACTTTCAAACAAGCCCTTAGTCTTGTTTCAGTAACTACCTTGTATAAAAAGGTGAAAACAAAAACAATAATAATAATAAAAGTTAAAAAACATTATGCACTGGAGTTGAAGTGTAAACATCAAAGAGGTTCAAATTAAAATTTTTACAGGAGTAACAAGAAAAACAAAAAGACCATCAATACCAAATCATACCACCAACAGAGATACACGATGCACCAATAACAAAAATAACATGACAGTGCTTTAAATGATATGATAGAAAAGTATTTTTGAACACCAAGAGGCATTACATAGGCCTCCACAATGGTGCATGCGTCTTTTATACATCCCTAGACACTACACATGTGTGTCTTTATTTTTTTTAAAATATGAAATTGTTCTTGAAATAACTTTTTAATTAAAAAAACCTATTATGAATAGTAAAAAATACCTCTTGATATCAAGTTTAATTTTTCTTATTTTAAGGGTATCTTTATAGTTTCACCATGCATTTTAATTATTTATTATTTTTTATATTTATACAAATACTAAAGTGTTTCTCAGCTTCAATTATAATAGCCAAAAGACCATTGTGAATATGCAAAAATACCCCTTAATTCCAAGTTTTTTTTTCCTCTTAAGGATATTGAGGTTATTTTACTGTGTCAATATGAAAAAATAATTCTTTATCTCGTTATGATCTTTAAATTTTTATAGAAAAAACTCATTGCATAGACTACTTTTATTTTTTTTCAAGAAAAAAGGTTACATGTAGGGCAACACAGCTATTTGTAGTTTGTTGTGGGAAAAGGTTTTTATGGAATAATAATAAATAAGTTTTACTGGTTTGAGAATGATATTTGATTGACTATATAGGTTGTCTAATAAAAATATTGATGTAAAAACAAGTAGAATTTATAGGATTGAACGCAAAAGAAAATAAAAGAATCTATAGAATTGTGTATAGAAAAATATTAAAAATAATTGTACTTACAATGAAACAAAGAGTAGAAGAAAATATAAATAAAAATATGTAAAATAAAATAAAATATGTGGAAAAAAAATCCAGATTTTTCTCCTTGTTGGATTGCACCCAATGGCGTGCCCAAATACCTAAGCTGAGCTCT